ACCAAGCTTTGCATCACATCACCACCTGCTCCAACCCAACTCCGATCGCTCCTCGCTGCAATGATATAACTTTGCGAACGGGAAACCTTAAACTTCAGATGCAGCCATTGGTTCATCACCTCTCCCGCTCACGGTAATCAGGCCGCAGCCGAAGTCGCTCGACTTCTCAAACCCGGAGAAACTACCCATCAGCCAGCTCCAACACTTAACATTGCTGGTATCACCAACAAATTGGCTCCAGAGCCAGTTTAAAGTGAAGTTTTTTCACCAGAGGTGGCAGTGACTCAAGTAAAGATGAAGGACCTAGCTAAAGAAGCGGTCTCAGAAAATGGAAGATCCTGCCGGGATCTATGCTACCAAGAAGAAGCATGCACGAGCAAATTCTTCAAGCAACCAATTCATGCAATTGTGCGAAAAAAATACATGCGGAACAGGCAGACCAAAGGTAGTGACAACACTGGAGCATGTTATACTGTCGGTCTGAAGCCAATTGAACCTGGATCCCCATCTCAACCAACCTCACTAGCGGGCGGTGCTCTCAACATCTCGTCAGCGGGGATTCACTATCAGTCGAAAACCAACAACTGTCCAAGATCTGGATGCAGTGGGCTTAGCCTTGAACTTTAAGACTTCAAGACCTGGCCTGAAGACCTCCGGTTGTAACGTCTTATATTTTTATCCACTTTTATCTGATATGATTGTACAGCATGTGCTAATATGCACAACAAGTAACAACACAATACAAATACTGTTCGTAGCGACGCACGTGTTCTCCGGGTGTTGCTGAAGAAGTACGTGTACATCATCAGTTATCTTCAAGTGGTCCGGTAACTGTCGTAGCCATCCATTTCAGCAATACTGCACACTATCAACCGGAGGCACATATCCAAAGAACAGGATCAATCAGTCAGCCGGACAATCCTTCTGTGAGTTCTTTTTATGTACCGTTTATCTCATTATTATTCGTATACGTAGTATCGTTTTTATTAAATATTTGGTGATCTTTTCTATGATAGTCTGAGTTCTTCGGGAATTTTGCTTTATTTTTTGTTTACTTTACGTGTTAAATATGAAGCCATCAAACTCGACATATGGAAACTTCCCGTGTCTTCTCACATAAAACTGCCCACATTTGACATTAAAACCCCCAATTATGGTACGCCCAAGCCGAAGCCCATTTCCGTGCCCACCGCATTGCTCCCTAATGAATATGTATTCCCACATAGTCACTTACCTGCCTACAGACATTGCGGATCAGCTGTTTGAGTTTATCATCACCATGTCCGAGAATGACCCAAACGCGCGCAGAAACCACCCACCACCAGCCAGCTCCAACCCTCAACATTGCTGGTATCACCAACACATTGGCTCCAGAGCCAAGAATTGCACCCACCCTGTTCGTTTACCTCACAGGAATACCCCAAAGCCGGACACTAATGACGGCGCCTGTTTCCGGCATCCTCGTCAGTCGTCTATTATTCATCTAAGATCAAAGCACTGGCATCCGATTTTCGATTGACACCGGTGCTGAGCTGAGCGTGATTCTCCGTGCGGCACACTACCGCCACCTTCAACCAACCGCTGTCACATAACAAGCATCCGACCCTAGTCGCATGTACACCTGTGGCCGTCGCTTCATCACTGTCGGTCTTGGTTTGAGACGACGATTCAGGTGGATTTTCAGCATTGCTGATGCTAACACTGCCATCATTGGTGATGATCTTTTGTCTGCTTTTGGTCTCGTTGTTGGTGTAAAGCAGCAAAGGCTACTGGACGCCTCCACCTCATTATCTGTCAATGCTCGCGCAGCGCGCGTTTGTTCCATGGAACTCCGTCTGGCCGAACCCGAGTCATCTGTCTTCCCAAAATTCTTCGTGAATCTCCGGAGTTGACACAGCCCTCGTACAAACCTGCGAGTGTTACACACACGGTGACCCTCAGCATCATGACAAGAGGTCTGTAGCAACTATGATTATACAAAGAAAAAAGCAATCCGCAAGGACGTTTTTCGTACATATTTTCTTCCCAATCAACTAAAACTGTAATTTTCCTCTGTTTTACTTCTGTTTGTTTTACTGAGCACGGGTTTTCGCTCAGGTGTATATATAGACTGGGCCCTATTCAAAACCACGCAACACGTTTGACGCGCTTTCGCTTTGCTACTGCAATTATTTGCTTGCATTGTTTAGTAGTCACCTCGGCACGTATTCGGTATTTTCTGGTGCCACCACGATACACCAAGGAACGTCTACGACCACCAGGAGTGCTCTTGTCTAACTCGGGCAACGAGAAACTGGGAGGCCGCGCGCTTTTTGAAATCTATAGGAACACTTATCCACTGGCCGTAAACATGGATCAGCTTCATTGATGAGCCCTTTATTTCTAATTGGTGAATCCAATCCACTTTGGTTGGCATTATTTTTCTCGCCGTTCGTTTTCATTCTCACCATGTAATTATTTATCGCAACTGTACGATGGTCCAGCAGCGTAATCCAGTAGACGACGGGAACTGGACCTAGGTTCAGGCCAGTAGCCTTCATTCCTCACGACCCTGAGGTGTGTTTTACCGCATTAGAAACGCAGGTTTTTGCTTTCAACGTGCGCAGCCGGCACTCCAAGTTAGTTTACGCGGTCAAGGCGATCCATGGCTACTGAATATTTTCCATAAGGGATTTCATCCTTAAACCGCCGGAGGAGAACACGTATCATGTTTTCAATGCTGTGATCCTTCAGTTCTGCACCCCCTGTAACGAGGAACGGTTGCTCCAGTTGCTGGTTCGTCACGTGATTGATGATATGACGCCAAGCAGGCATCTGGGACGTCTGCGAACGTTATCCGGCCCAGGAAACGCCCACTCTGAAATTGTCAGAGGGCTGCGGTTCGATTCGTTGCCACTTCACGTCCAACCGTTGGTAACGGAGTTGCTGGAGGACGCCTCGATCGACAAAGCTGCGTCGATTGCCTACAAAATAGTTGCACGTGTCGGTAGTGAGGATATTTTCCTCGTTGCCACGACATCGCAATCATACACGGGGAATAGGGATAGGTATGCGGTACGACCTTCCCAGCCGCGACCACAATGCATATAACACCGCTTGTCCCTCAAGGACAGAGTCCCGTCTGGTATCTTACCTGCTCAATGTCTCCAAACTTCAGCCAGGTTGTCTTTAGCTTTTCTATTCTCACTCTTGCTCCATAAACCTCTTGTCCTCGATTAATCTGTTTTGATGCTTCAGAGCCAAATCAGAATCACCATTTTTATTTCACTTAAGGTTTATGAACTCCGTTTGAGCGTTTCCGCTCAAATGGTGTCGGTGCTACGTGCACTAAAATGTCCTTCGTATACCTCGGATTCTTCACTGGAACTATTCTGCTTCTCCCACTTCTACCTACTCCGTCTGGTATCTTACCTGCTCAATGTCTCCAAACTTCAGCCAGGTTGTCTTTAGCTTTTCTATTCTCACTCTTGCTCCATAAACCTCTTGTCCTCGATTAATCTGTTTTGATGCTTCAGAGCCAAATCAGAATCACCATTTTTATTTCACTTAAGGTTTATGAACTCCGTTTGAGCGTTTCCGCTCAAATGGTGTCGGTGCTACGTGCACTAAAATGTCTTCCGTGCATGCATTGTGAAGCTATTTTCACTCTAGCACCGCATCTTCTTAGGATCCCTTGCTAGTTCTCCGTTTTCTCCTCTCTCTTCTTTTATCAGCTGGGTGCTACTCCAAACTGCCTCATATCGCCTCTTTGTTCCAGATTCGGCACTGTTGGGCCTGCCCTGAGCTTGATTTGCTCACTCACTATGGACAATTTGGCTACGGCAACGGTTGTTGAGCACTGCTGTTTCCACCGTTTTGACTATATGCGTCAGCGTTCCGGACCAAGTTGAGGATCGCACCCCGTGCCTTACGTGAATGGTGTTTTAACGTTAGGTGTCTAGTATGTAGTTAGTCCCACATCAAAGCGACCAACACTTAATCAATCTAAATAATCCAAATCACTGCTTGATCGATTGAAGCCCTGAACCCAATGAACTTGTCTCTGGAAGCGAGTTGTATTGCAGCATCGAGTGAAACATATACTTTTGCCTACGTATTATTCTGCCTGTATTCCTTCCCTTCTATTCCTGTCCTCATGCCTCCACCATCAGGCAGCATTTGTTCCACAGACCGCATCTCCGTATTTCCCCGCACAGTTTTCGTACATCCAATCCTTCCGAGACCAGTTTTACCATTACTTCTAATTCTAGTGACATG